AGCATCAATATATATAAATTATTTTTCAATATTATATGCCTGAGGAATAGAATTCATGTCAAGTTCTAAATGTCTTAATTTCTTTATTTCATTAATAGCAGGTTATTAGTATAAATTCAGGCTTATGCTTTGTATTTTTTGAGCTACCACAATGTCAGGCATACTTGATTTCATGGATGGTCATGCGTACTCTATGCTGACTCTGTGTAGAATGAAATAGGACTTCTACTAGACACATCCGCATGAAATTCAAGTTTTATGACCGCATACACTGTGTTACAATAAACTGCTTGGTGGGAATATTCCAATCAACAGGAAAATATCTTCACATCAAGCTGTTTATGCAACACTGCACTTTATTTTTTTGACCTAGCTGATGTTAGGAAATATCTGGAAGCGCCAGACTGCTCCATACAATGTTGCAAGGACATGCAGTGTTGCTGCCACTCTGCCATACTGACAGGTGGGTTCTTATCCTTGCTTAGTTTAGTTTAGTTTTTTTCCAAGGCTACAAGGCAATTGAGCTCTTCCTCCTCTTCAGATAGCACCGTAGCAAAAAGTAAATATAATTTGTCATGAGAAACACAGGAACTCAACTATAAGATCTCAAAGACTCCCAGACAATGTAGGCAGAGTCCAAGTGACTTAGTATAAGCACAGGATCCTAGATTCCTTGGGAGTCTTTAAGATCTTTTCACACGAAAGATGCTTGTTCTGGAATCCTGGTTCGTTTTAACCCTTAGTGTGGTTTGTATATCTAGTGATCGAAAGCTAAAAACAAATAATTTCTTTTGGCTAGGAATGTGTTTTTCAATTAAATTAAACTGATGGAGGTTGCATTTTTTCTTTCCACTATGCAACCATCATGTCTACCTAAAAATTATTTCGGTCTACATTTTAGAAAATAAAAACAATATTTTCCTTGTTTTTTGATTAGCCTGAGGTACAGCACTTTCCTGCAGTTATATTTGGTGCCCCGCCTTGAGCAAATCTTACCATGAACAATATTATTTGGTACTTTTCAGTGGGATGGTTAGGTTTGCTTGAAGAAACCGAACCAGGAGAAAAATTAACATATTAATAAAATGACAAAAAGTACGGTTTTAAGCACACTGCTAAAAATAAAAAAACTCTAATTTAGGAGATCTTCTCCTTTCCTTTGAAAGTGCCGTTATCATACAGAGAAAGTCATACATCGTATTAGTCATTGGAATATGGTTCTATACTCAACATCAAACTAAAGGATAAAAAAAAAAAAGGAAAATGTACACATGAAACATTTCCTTATTACAACAAAGCTTAGGACTAAGAGGAGCTGCACAAGATGCCAGAATTGGACCTGTAAAGTGATTCAGATTGTTAGAGTAATGCACTAAGCAACAGTTTAAGGGGTAAAAAGCTTTTCTTTTAACATATAAAATGAAAAGACAAAAAAGTTGTCCCAAACTGAACAGTAAAATTACTGACAGGCAATATTTGTAGGGATCCACCAACAGAAAAAATTATTTCTGAACCAGTTTGTTTACATGCTACAAACTTAACATTGGCAGATTGGCAGATGGATCTACATGGTAAATGTAAAAAAAAAAAAAAAAAAATTAACTTAAGTCTTATATATGAGCTACACATCTTATGTAGCTTTTTTTTCTGTGTATATTTGGTGTAAAGCACAGTGGCTCTGTTCACCAGTTGAAGATTCCTGACATAAGACATATTTTGCTATTCAAATAGCCAATATGTGTGACATACTAATAGAAATGTAATAAAATTTTTTTTTTACATCTGATTTAAATTGTTCCCGTTTCAATGGGGGTGCCAGTAGACATTGACAATTTCTACAGTTGGATTCAAGATGATCTCTTTTCACAGACATGCAAATACTATGTCATAATAGTGATCAACCTTCCTGCTGTTAAATATCACTAGAGAATAAATTAGCCTAAATGCTTATAGCGGTTATTTGGTATTTTTATATTAAATATTACAGTAAAATAAAAACATTTTTCCTAAAGAAAATGGACAGCAATTGCATTGTCATTAATTGTCTACATATACATTTTGTAAGTGTCAAAAAAACTTTAATAACTATAAGTAAATAGAGTTGGAAAAAAGATTTTGTTGCTACACTGTCTTCCTCCTTTCTGGAACAATGTCTGCTAAAGCTAGGGAAGCACTACATCATTGTTTTGCCTGATCTTTCCCCCTGATTATTCAGCAGGGAAAGTTGATACAAAAAATGGTTAGTGAAACATGGGATAACTACTGGAGTCTACCATCACGTATTTAATTACAATCAACCAATGAAAAATAGGCAACAAAAGAGACGCACCAAGAGCCTTCATTCAACTAATTGAAACTTCGTAAACTTTACTATAAAGCTTTTTACATTATAAACTCTAAATGTATTTATTGCAGTATTAGCTTTAACTTTGTCTATTAGAATAGATATAATACTTTAAGATCACAACCAACATTATGAGTCATTTTAAAAAACAAAGTCGCAAACATTTAAAAATATCGAAATCATCAATCGTATTTAGACTAGATCCTCTTAGCAGTTTTTTTAACTTCAAACTGTTGCACTCATTGATTTTCACCAGAGTTTGATGCCCTAAGTTGGCTTTAGCTGGACAGATAAATCCTAAAGTCTGTCCTCCATTAGAAGGTGTAGTTAACTTTGTGATCCTCAAAATTTGAGTTTGTGAACCCAACAGTCCCTTCACAATCTAATCTTTCATGATCAGATCAGGTACCAAGTGTTCAATTTTCAGAAAGGGTTAAGGCTGTAGGAGTAAAAAGTTACTTTATAATAAAAAATCATGCAGTGCTAGCTTTGCAGTTTACACGGCACACATTTTAAGTTAAAAATAAATAAATAAAAATCTAAATTAAATCAGCTCCTAATTGGTTCACGTGCGGAAACCAAATAGTTGTTGCTTTTCAATTTGTATCCACAATCATATTTTCCATTAATGCAAGCAGTAAGAACTGTTTAGTTCTTTTAAATTTTAAGCATTTTTTAACAGTTTGTGCCAAAGATTTTGTAATCCAACAGGTTAAGTTTTAATGACTTAAAGGAAGTAGAAAAATCCACAGATTTCATATTGCACAAAGCCTTACTTCGATACTAAGTCCAAATTAGTGAACTTCATTTTCAAAAGAAGGGAGTTTTTATGAAGAACGAAAGTTTTAAAAACTAACCGTAAAAAAGGGGTTTCAAACAACAGTTCCACTATTAAAAGAAAAGATTTACATGATGCAAAAATCAACATACTTCTATCACCATTTTAAAAATCTGAAGATGTACAAAAATATTTGAATAAGGAACAGTATGAAAAAAGGAAATAGCCTATATATATCTTAAAATGTAGAAATGCAATTGCTTCATATTGGCATGAAAATCTGAGTCTCGAATCAGTAAAGTCAGCATATAAACAATGAACAGATGTAGAAACACACTGTGTAGAGTTAGAATGAACTAAACTAAGGATAAGGACAGTTTTATTAAATGAACAACTTATTTTGTTGTTTTCGTGAATCAGACCAATTAAGCTCCTAATCCTGACAACTGTGGTCAAAAATCCACAAAAGTTGAAAATGGCACTGATGAGCCATTCATGTTCTGAAGGCTTGATAAAAAGTTTATGGGACTTTTTTCTAAATACAAACTCCAAATTAGAGATTTAAAAAAATGACTGTTTATTTTACCCCCACAACTTGGTTATTATCTTTTTTTTTATCTGCAGTGATAAGTGCAAATATTAAAAATGTTATTTAATCCCCCACATTACGAAACTGTGTAAATAAAAAGAAAGGTAACACAAGCATACAAATGCTATTTCTTTTATGTCAAATTTGCAATTGTTGTGAAATATTTGTATTCAGGCTCTAAGGGGAAGGCATAGTCTCCTGTGGACAATTCAAATGATAATGTCTATGACTTGTAGCTTAAGAGCCACAAAAAGCTCTTTGGATCCCATAGAATAGATCTATAAAGTTCAGGCTAAAGTATTAAAACAGATGCAGGTTTAGGCTGTTTTTCTGTTTATAATGGAACAACTGCATTGACGTTATGTCTATTCTTCCTTTTAGCAGCTGGAAATTATTTACTTTTCTCTTTACATAATTTTTCCAGGAATAACATTCTATAGAAGAAAATTTAGCCATCAAATTTTAGATGACGTAAGTTTTGCACCTGAAGGTTTTTCTTTAGCTGGACTGATGGAAAAATAGGTCTTTAGACTGTGAAGGCTTTAGATCGCAGTTTTACAGGCATTACAAATTAAATGTGTTTTAGTATTTCAGTGGCAAACAAAAAAAAAAAAAAACTTTTAAACATATCAGAGATGTCTGTAGGGAAATCATGAGACAACACAAAGCTTTTGCCCATAAAAATCAACTATTTATACATGATTGGAATTTGAAGAACACCTGTAAGCATATTCTTTCGGATTGTACCTTATATGACCTGCAAAACTTTTTTTTTAAATGTTTAACCAGAGCAAATTCAATATTTTAGCACTGGTAAGTCAAATATTTGTTTCAGAGGCAGTGTTGGGATATCAGAAATTTTAACATTGTAAGAAATAGTAGTAAGATTAAGCATGTATTTTAATTCGGTATTATTTTTACCATGTCTCAGTTTGGTAACATTTTTTATTGGTTTAGTTTTTGTTCTACTGTGATTCACTGAAATCTTAAACTGAGGGGAAAATATCATCTTTATTACTAGAGACCATTTATATAAATTAAAAAAATGAGCTGTTTGTTTTAATAAAACACTATTGTATCCATTTTTACACAAACAACTCAACCTAGTGTTTTTCTTAGTACTAGACTTTTTTCAATTCTCATGTGGTCGTAAAATTTTACCCAATGATTATCAGTGGATATTTTTATCATTTACTATGTATGTAGAAAAAAATGTATCCTAGATAAACCTTGTTTGATAGAAACAAACATGAAAATGTCTGACAAAGTGGTCAAGCTTTTTTTCCTACCAGATCACTCTCTTCTTCCTCCTCCCTCTTGGTTTCTTGGGGTGCTTCTTCTGGGTTAAAGTCCTCCATTTCAACCTAAAAGAAAAACAAAGTTTAGCTCCAACAGTTAATGATGAATCAAGAGTTTAAACTCAGTATTACAGATCCATAAAAAACAAAGTTGTTACCTCCTCAATCGCAGCATCTTGAAGCAGGGACCGCACATCTAGGCGCATCATGTGACGAGGAGAGGATTCCCAGTTTTTGGACATCTGTGTACGAAATAATCCATTAAAAAATATGTTTTAGTAAATGGGAGAACTAAATTATCATTGTATTTTATATTAGATAAGGGATCGCATAAACCTTTGTTATATCCTTAAGTGTGCGGCCATGGACATTCCTCTTTGCGCAGGTTTGAGTGTCAGCTGTGATTTCAGCTACATACACCTAGAAATAAGGATTTTATTTAAAAGTCGACAAATTGAAACCTTTGTTTTAGATAAGTTACTCGTAGAAACGACTCACCTCAAAGCCTTTAGTTTTGGCTGCACTCCAAAACTGCTCAAAATGTTTAACTCTGTCATTAATGGTGTCCAAAATGATGAAGGGGAAGAAACCGTCATCCAGAGTTTTCTTAAATGTTTTCAGCATGCTGCTCCTGTAGGTATCCTCCATCTCCGGCTCATACTCATACTCAAGAACCTAAAAGACATATCTTTAAGTCACTGCTCATACTATCGGAGGAAAAAAAAAAATCTCATCACAATCCATCAGATTAAGTGATATTTGTTATAGTGTGCATCAGACCAACCTTGGTTTTTACTCTCCTTCCTGTGTCTGGGTCTTTCTCAACTTTCTCCACCTCGGTCATGAAGTAGTCATCCAGAACAAGAACCCTTGGAGGTGCACCACCACATTCAACCTCCTTGTCCTGAACACATTTATAAACAGTTCTTATGGGTTTCTTTGTCATTTCTTTGTATATTAACTTCACTTTTCTTTATCATTGTTTATAAGTATGCATTAAAATAAACAAAATATTGAAAAACATGGCAAAAAAGGCAATCATTAAAGGTTCTCAGTGCACACCTGAATCAAATGAATAGCTCGCTACCTAATACTAAAGAAACACTCCAAGACTGTTTTGAATGCTCTGACTGGAACATCTTCAAGGCTGCAGCAAAATATGACAACTTATTAATAATGAGTATTGCCATGACTGTGTCAGCCTTTATCAACAAATGCATTAAGGACGTCAGCATCAAAAAGAAGATCACCACCTGGGCCAACCAACCACCCTGGATAAATGGAGAGGTTCTGAAATCGCTAAAAGCACCGAATTCAGGTTTCAAATCGGGTGATAAAGAGGCACTAAGAACAGCGCATGCCAACCTAAACCGTGCCATCAGATCAGCGAAGCAGTACCACAGACAGAAGATCCAGGATCTTTTCCACAATGACAGCAACACGGGAGGATGTGGAAAGGCATACAGATGATAACAGACTACAACACACCCTCCCCCCGGTAGATGCAGCAAACACTGACTTCCTAAATGAACTGAACAACTTCTTTGGAAGGTTTGAGAAACTAAACAGCACTCCAGCAGTGAAAGCTGTTCCACACCAGGGGGAGGATGCACTAAACCTGGACGTAGCTGAAGTGAGGAAAACTCTGAGGAGAGTCAACCCAAGGAAGGCCCCAGGGCCTGATAACATGCCTGGGTGGGTGTACAAAGAGTGTGCAGATCAGCTGGCTGGTGTCCTCACAGACATTTTTAACACCTTGCTCGATCAATCCATAGTGCCAACATGCTTCAAGTCTTCCACCATCACATGGTGAAGTTTGCAGACGACACCACGATCGTGGGCCTCATCAGAGACGACAACGACCTGGACTGCAGAGAGGAGGTGGAGCAGCTGGTGGACTGGTGCAAAGATAACAGCCTGATCTTATGCTGCGTTCACACCGGACGCAGCAGGAGCAGCAAAATCGCGTCTGCTTGCTGCTTCATTTTTACTGCTTGTACCAGTTAGTTCTGACGCGCGGCTGAAGCAGCTTTGCTGCTCTGGCTGCGCCGTGCAAAAGTGTGCATTGGGCGGAGCTAATCTGTCCTTTCTGTGCCTTGCAGCTGTATTTGTGGTGATCAGTGGGAATATACCGTATTTTCACGACCATAAGGCGCACCGTACTAAAAGGCGCACTCTCAGTTATGTGTGCCATTTCTGTATTTAACACACACATAAGGCGCACCGGACTATAGGGCGCGTTTTTTATATACAGGTACATGTCCTCTACTACCTTTAAATACCTCTACTGCGTATTTAAAAATACAGCAGGGGCAAAACTGAGTATGATTGTGCTTTATTCATGTATTTATTACAAAGTATTAATCAAACCTGGGTGCTGGCCGTGAGACAGACACATCGCAGATGACACAGCGCTGTGATCGCTCCTAAATTAACTTAAAATCCTGAAACCTGCCGACGGAATTTGTTCGCTTTTATTACCGGTATCCTGGTGCCTGCAGTTTAAATTATTTAGATGAAAAACACCTGCCAGCAGCCGCGGTGAACCTGGAGGCTGCCCAGCCTAGAGGCCGCTGATGAAGGGATTTCTAATGTTGGTGTACCGCTGGTATGTGGGGGTCTGAGCGCCTCCGACAGAAATAGATAGTCTGGATGAACTGACTGCAATTATGAAGTTTTCAGGTGGACTTTCTCACTTAAAAACATATTAAAACTACTTTATTCCCACTGATCACAGCAAATATAGCTGCAAGATTTAGATTATTTAGATGAAAAAACACCTGCCAGCCACCGCGGTGAAGAGGAGAAGACCCGCCCAGAGGCTGCTGTTGAATTAAGTTTTCAGGTAGAAAAATAGAGCGGGAGCCAAACTGAGTATGATTGTGCTTTATTCATGTATTTATTACAAAGTATTAATCAAACCCATCAAAGTCATCATCCTCTGTTTCTGAATTAAACAGCTGCGCTAAATCAGACATGCCAGTTTCCCCTTCTTCGCTGTCAGAGTCACTTTCCGTGCAGCGCGGCTCCTCAGAAATAATGCCGGCTTTTGCGAAAGCTTGAACAACAGAGCCAGCAGACACATTAGTCCAAGCATCAACAATCCATCCGCAAATGGTGGCGTAACTTGCCCGGCGCTGCCTTCCACTTATCGTGAAACTGTGGTCTCTGTCGGCCATCCATCGCTCCCACGCCGCTCGCAGCCTTACTTTGAACGGCCGCTTCACACCGATGTCGAGCGGTTGAAGTTCCTTTGTCAGACCCCCGGGATAACGGCGAGCACAGCGTCCATTTGATTCACCTTTTTTTTCACATCGGCTGTGAGATGGGCACGCAGCGATGGTGATGCATGGAAAAAAACACCTGTTCTCCTCACATAGCCTACACCTGCCTCAGCCACGCTTTCATCATCTCCTCATCCATCCAGCCCTTTTCATTTGCGTTAATATCATATGTCATCAGAGTGCTGTGTCTGTCTCGCTGTCAGCTCCCAGATCTGCTTCTCTGATTGGTTGATGCGGCGCGTCCAGCAGCAAAACTTAAAATTTTCCATGTCGAGCAGCAGCAGCGCGTTGGCAGATGCTTAAACGCTCCTGCTGCTCAAAACGCGCTGCGGGACCTTTTGCTGCACCTATACGCGCGTCAACCATTGACTTTGCATGTAAACTCGCTGCTTCTGCTGGACCTGCTGCGTCCGGTTCACACCGATGTCGAGCGGTTGAACAGCGAGCACAGCGTTAATTTGTTTCCCCATGTTTTTGACATCAGCTGTGAGATGGGCACGCATGGAGTTACATATTAACAGCGATGGTGATGAGTGGAAAAAAAACAGCTGGTCTCCTTACATTCAGCCACTCTTTCATCATCTCCTCAATGAGGTGGTCTCAAAAGTAGCAGTTACAACACACATAGGGCGCACCGCACCATAGGGCGCACCGCACATTTTGAGGAAAAAAAAAAGACGTTTAAGTGCGCCTTATAGTCGTGAAAATGCGGTAGTTTTTTTTTTTTTTATATATGTTTTTAAGTGAGAAAATACACCTGAAAACTTAATCAGTGCAGTCAGTTCATCCAGATTACCATCCTGCATTCCAATATTATTTCTGTCGGAGCCGCTTAGACCCGCACATACCAGCGGTGCGCTGTCAGTAGGAATCCCATTCAACAGCAGCCTCTGGCCGGGTCGCCTCCTCGTGGTTCACCACGGCAGCTGGTAGGTGTTTTTCATCTAAGTAATCTAAACTGCAGGCACCAGAATAATAAAAGTGAACATATTCTGTCGGCAGGTTTCAGCATTTTAAGTTAATTTAGGCATTAATAAACTGTTTCAGAGGAGCGATCACAGCGCTCTGTGTCATCAGCGATGTGTCTCTCTCCCTGCCAGCTCCCAGATCAGCTTCTCTGATTGGTTGATGTGGCGCGTCGAGCAGCAAAGGTTAAATTTTTCCATCTCGAGCAGCAGCGCGTTTGCGGCGCGTCAGATGCTTAAACGCTCCCGACGCGCTGCTTCAGCTGCTCAGACGCGCTATGCCTGCTGCTCAAAACGCGACCTTTAGCTGCGCTTTGACGCGTGTCAACCATTGACTTTGCATGTAGACTCGCTGCTTCTGCTGCGCCTGCTGCGTCCGGTGTAAATAGCATTAAACGTGGTCGCGTTCGGACCAGGTTTGGGTCAGTTAACCGTGCCAAGCTTAGTTCTTATGACCATTTAGACATCATGCTAGTATGGACCCTCGCGTATCAGCGGTCCACGATACAACAGCACTCCAGGTGGGAATTACTCAAACAAATATGGCAGCATCCATAACATTCAGGTACTTATGTGCCTGAATAGCGTCCTCCGCCCAAATTTCAAGGAGAGCCTCGGTCTCGGCATCATCCCACATTGCATCACGCTCTTTTGATCCCGTTTATTATTAACAGGCTGAGAGGAAGATCGTGTTGTGAACAGGTGAGGAGAACTGTTAATTACAAAGCAAAAAACTGAAAAATGAGTACGGTGAGTGTAAATAGGAGATGACGCGGTCTGCTCATGCGCTGTTTGTTTTCAGAGAACTGAGCCACAACTGAACCGTGCAAAGCCCTACTGTTGAACATGTAGTAGATCAGGCGCGGTTGCCGTTGCTTTTTCCCCATTTAGACTCAGTTATCTCGGTTACAGTGAATGGTACCGTACTCAAACCATTCACGGTTTCAAAAAGGGTAGTGTAAATGGGGTTCATTTTTCCTTCCACTAAACCTACCATTAACATGCAAGCAAACATGAACAAGTCACCAGTTCTCTCCATGTGGGCCTTAACATAACACTTCTATATTAAATCTACTTCAGCTGCTGTGTATTCTTTTTATATTAACTGACTTTCACTTTAAACTGATTCACTGAAATCTATTAATTTCATCTGATATCTCTTACTGAAATGTACCTGTACAGTACTTTAAGAAAAATAGCCAGAATCACTTACCCGTATAAGCTTTGCAACATGGCTTTTCCCACTTCCTGGAAGGCCCCTCATTATAATCACAATCTGTTGAAACAGTTTTTTTTTTTTCAGTCCTCAGTATCAGCTGCCTATATGTCAGTGTTACAGGAATGAACATAGTAGGAAGTGATATATACCCTTTCAGGCCGTGATAATCTACCAGGTGTCTTGAGGATGTCATCAATATTTTTTATTTCAGGCTTCTTCTCGACCCGTGAAGGTGGTGGAGGGACTGGTGCAGGAGGGTGTGACCCTCGCTCCTCTGGGTAACTTCTTCTTTCCACTGCATGACAATGTGTGCATTTGATTAATGTGTGGTCAGCTTACTTGGCTGTATTAGACCTACAAGGTATCTTTTGTAAATAAAAATAAAAAAATTTTAAGGAAACTGTAGTTGTCTACACAATAATATCTCTGTGCCTGTTTGAAAACTTGCAAAAATTTCCCATTCCGATTTTTGTAGTAGAAAAACACCATAAAAACAGTTTTGCCAAAATATGAAAAAAAAGGTAAGATCAAGTACTAAAATATTCTTTTTTTTTTATATTCAAAGGGATGAAGAAAACATTCCCACATTTGGTTATTCTTTTTCAAGTATTTCAACCATTTTGTTGATGTGTAATTTAACAAACATTTTCTAAGACTGCAAGTTAACCCTGGATAAGGAACTTTGAAAAAAGGTGTGGTGCCCACGTACAGAACGGTGAGCTGTAACGCTCGGCCCCGAGGCGTTCTGGTCCGGACCGATCATGTGGAGGTCTGTCATAGCTATGTCTTCCGTAATAATCGTCTTGATCCCGACTGCCACTCCGCTCCTTATCTCTTTCCCTGTATGATGATCGAGGAGCCAGTGGAGACCTGCAAGCAGAATTTGTAATTATAATTTCCTTGTATCTTTTTTTCCAAAACCATCAGAGTCAATAAAAATAATGACGTCTGACACAAAGGGGGAATAGTACCTTTCTTCAACCAAGGTATGTGTGCTTGAATCAGAGAAAAAATATGAAAAAATACCTTTTAAGCAGAGGTGGGAACTTGTTTTCTTTTTTTTCTTAAATTTTATGGGCTTTTTTTTTAATAGGAAACTTGGAATATTCCCATTTAAAAGCAAAGACAGTACCTGTCATCTCTTTCTCGTGAATGGTAACGCTCCCTCTCATATCTGTCTCTTTCATACTCCGGGGGAGTTTCTCGGAACAGCTCCCTCTCTCTGCTATACTCCCGGCGATCCAAATAGGGGTCCGATCGACGGTCATGATACAGGTCTCTAGCATAGGGATCTCTTAGGCCAAGCAGTTCTAAGATTATATTTGCAAAAAAAACAAATTTTAGAAATGGGGGAAAAAAAAAATAAAAAAACAGGCAAAAATGATGAAAACTTTTGAGGTCAAATTTTACCTTTTTCATAGAGGCGATCTGATGGCAAAGGGTCAGGTCTCAATACTATCCTCTCACCATATGAGATCCGCTCTACAGTTGCCCCGAGCTCTGAAAAATGCCGACCAGAACTTTTAATCACAGGTTCACCATTTTAACACCTAACCTTCATATTCTCTAGATAGTGTTAAACATTATATTAAGTTTTGTTGGACATACCGTGGCCATGTCCGTAATCAACAGTTTTAGGAGTGGGTTTGGCTGAAGCCAACTGTGGTGATTGGTAATCTCCTGCAGCAGCAGCATGTTTGCTTTGCCAGGCCACAGACTCTGTGCCAGGAGTCTGGGCAGCAGCACTTATACCCTGGTGAGAAAAGGTAACATTTCATACATGGCTCCTATACCACAATGTTAAGTATAAAAATCTAGATTGAACTTTAAAGATATAGAGCCCAATTTACACCACCCTCTGACAACAGATTCGTGCCGAGCTTGGATCAGTTAATCCTGCCGAGCTAGGTTCCTCTCCTCCTACTGCTGTCTAGAAATAAACAAACCAACATGGCGGCGCCCGTAACATTCCGGAGAGTCAGGCAAAGAAGGAAGCCTTAGGTGAATTTACATGCCAGAGTCGGCTTTTGGGAAGTGGATACGACAAACAAGTCTAATCAGGGCTTACAGAGGAAGGAAACGACAGAAGTTGAGGCTCATCACACTGCTAAGCAGAATCATGAGTGGAAATCATGTGGCAAGGTAGGGAAGCTTGTATTTTTATGAATGTCTGTAATTTCATGAGGTTGACTTTAAGGAGATGCCGCGGTCTGCTCATGTGCTCCTTGTTCTCTTTGATAAGAGAACTGAGCCAGAACTGAGCCGCGCTGAGCCCTACCGTTGAACTAGTACCATGTTAGCGCGTTTCGGTTGTTAGTGGCGCGGTCCAGTTCAGATGTGCGTGCCATTTACACTCAACAATTACCGTGGCCGGACCTCTCTCAGCACACTTTCAAAAGGGTAGTGTAAATTGGGCTTAGGTTTCACCCTTCTTTCTTTCCTTCATTGAAGTTCTCAATCCCAAACACACTGCATATACTACAAATTTTATGAATGCAGATTTCATTTACCTTTAACACATTCCTAACATCAGGTGGGATCTCCAAGCCCAGAAGGCCTGCAGGAAGCTCTGGCAGTGTGTCACTGGATCCAGGCTGATTTTCAGTACTGGGGGTCTTTCCCTCTTGTAGTTCCCTTTTAAAACAAAGCAAGCCAAATAAAATTTATGGACAGTTTAGTGTGTTTATGTAGCGTACTTACACTTGTTTTTTTGTTTGTTTTTTTTTCTCCAGATAATTGATCATATAAATTAAGATTACAATAATGAACAGATTAATGATCACAAAAAACAAAACAAAAAGAAAAACAGATCCAAACCACAGAGAAACTCTCAATGTTTTGTCTCTTACATTCACAAAGAGTAAGACATCAATCGCATAATTTCAGACATGGCGGTTATATGCTTAAAGGGGGTTTGCACCAACCAAAAACAAGCACCTTTTCCACACAATGAACTCAACAAAAGTCTTCCAGGTAGTGGTGCAAGTTATTAATCTAAAGTTGATAGCTCTTAATATACCAATGAGTAAATATTAAGCAACAATTTTCTTAAAAAGAAAGTTTTCTCTTCTATTAAGAGGATCTTTCCAAAACATATCATGCCACTTTGGTTGGCTGCCCACATCGCCCATATTACAAAGAGCTACTGTAATCACAGGGTTTTAATATATAAGGTGTTCTGAATCCCTCCTACCAGGTTAAATAGGTAATTTATAAGCCTAGGGTACATAGTCACACTTGCCCAGAAGTTGAATACATCAGTTACTTACTTTCCTTGTATGTCCTCTGTAAATATTTAGTAAAACTAGAGGTTGTTTTGCTAAACTGTCCCTGAGATGGACAAATTTACACATTTCCCACTGTTCTTTTCCCTTTATCTCAAACTATTTATGCTCTGAAAAGCCAGTATAATAATTTTCAAAATAGAGGATATGTATAGCAGTGTATGCTCAGTGAAAGAAAGGCTGCAGGTAAATGTTTGCTTTTTGCAAAGAACCAAATGCTGTGGTTTGTGAATATTCTCACAGTAAGACTTGACATATCTTAATTGGCAAGAACACCATATTTTGTCAAGAAATGGCAGAATCCAGAGGTGCGATAATGATCACTGATGTTTTTAAATCATATGCACTGCAATTTGCATCTGCAGTTAAAGATTAAAGGGAGTTACTTCTGTATCATGAGAATAATTTTGTTTTTACAAAACGGAAAAGTCTTAAACCGAGCATAATCCAATTTGTTAAGGCCCTACAAAACAAGACCAAGGCATAAAGATCAGACATCAAGCACAAGAGGAGTCCATCGGGCTTCATTCCTTGCTAATTTATAAGAACTAAATAGGAACCTACTAGGGTACTGAATAGAACAAACATATATGCAAAACACTTACAGGGGTTGACGTTAATGATTTTCACATTTCATTTGCCCAGAAACAATTTTTACTTGCCCAGTATAATGTTTGATAAATATAGTTCCTAATATTCATTTTTGTATATATATATCAATGAAATATATATTTTTTTAAATGTTTTTTGTAATCGAGTATTTTTTAAGTTTACAGGTTCCTGGTGTGCATATGCATGCGTCAGATAATGAACTTAAGCCTACATTACCGTGTTAACATGCTTTTCAATCCTTCCTGCACATTATTTTCAAACTAAACTTTGCTTTAAACTGTTGTGTGCTTGGAAAAATATAAATTGTAATGCTAAAAATGTAAAAAAAACTTTACAGGTTAAAAAATTACACTACTACTACTCAATGAACATTTTTTACCGTATAACCACTGTACAGAAGACTGCCATATGATAGAAATATTTACACTGTGCGCATGCAATTATTATTATTATTTTCCTTATCCCTGACTGATCATTTTTAATCTAGCGTGTATTATAGTATAGATTCAATTCATCATCCATCATCTGCTCCATCTAGCGGAAAATCCCGCGGCTTTTTCAAATCATGGAACCGGCAACGTTTTTGGGTCGTTTTCAGAGAATGTCGGTGATTTTAAAGTAATTTTGAGTGATAAATAAAAATTTTTTGCGATCATTGCTATTATCATCGGACTGAAATTTGTACTCTCCCGACAATAAAAACTACTTGCCCCGGGAGATCGGGCAATGGTTAACATCGAGCCCTGACTTATGATCTCCACTGTACTGAGATATAACTCTATTTTTAAAAGACAGGGTATGTCACTCTGACATACTATTACTTTGTTTCAATGAAGTGGATGCCAACTGGTGATACAGCGTTCTCTCCTTAGCACAATCAGTGCTGGGAACGACTTTGTGTTGCAGAGTGTGAGTTCACAGCTCACCATGTATGTTCTCACACCGTGTAACCCGACACTAGAGCGATCTACCTGTTCACACTGTACGTCTAAAAACCACGTCGGACTCAGCTCCGCAGTGAGATGGCGCTACTCGGACTTGTCTATATGGAAGCATAAAGGGGGAGGAGAGGAATATGAAGCTCACGAGAGAGAAACGAGCTGCCTTGGTGATTTGTACAACTTTGTGTGCTGAAAGCCCTAAAAAGGAAAAGGCAATGACATATTTGGACCAAGACATGGCTGAGAAAATGTCGCTACAATAGTCTGTCAATTTTATAGAAAGAACTCCATTTCACCCCCACCCCTGCCATGCTTCTGTGTTTTCATCTGAGAGGAAGAAGAACAATCCTTGTTTGCGCATGCCCACTGAGCGATTTGGCCACAATCGAATTATGTGAATTATGTTTGATTTTCTCCCGACCTCATGAGTCCTGATCCAGAGGTGGTCGTGAGAGGCTGATCATCCCTTGTTACCCCCTGTATATTACACGATGCATGAGACTTCAAAAGATGTCTCTTCATTAAATGAATCTAGGGCTGCAACTAACGATTATTTAAAAAAATCGATTAATCGGCCGATTATTTTTTCAATTAATCGATGAATCGGACAAAAAATATTTTTTATATTAACCTCTTTATTCCAAAATAAACATTTTAGACAGAACAAACAAGCACACAAGTACAGGTTGCTCATTAACTGGTGCAATACGAAAAATAAATGTTTTGTGTTAAAACTACGCAAACCTACATGAGAAATGTAGCTGTACATCCACAAAATATAGGGTACTTTTTCATAAAGCGCAAAAAAAAGACATGTTTGTTTTTAAAAGCCCCTAAGGCGCTCAAACAATGGGTCCCCCCATTTCATCAAATTAGGTTTTTTTTAGACTAGAAGAATTCTGCCTTTTAAGACAGGAAAGTATAGCAGTTTAAGTTGCTACTTGAGAAAATACTGAACCATAGAGATAAAAATAGCCCTTTGATTCAAATGATAAATTGTATTTGGAATAAAAATGAGAGAACTAGGGGTGCTAAAAAACACATCCTCCAAAGACAGATATTTACATGGGAATGTGGCATATAATTAATTGACATATTACTGATCTTGCTGGATTTTATTCTGATTTACTTCCATAAATTGCAGCATCTTCTTTACTTTATCTTTGCCAGAAGATTTAAACTTCAAAAGCCTTGCCCTCATAATTTGCAAGTTAATTTATTTATAAAGGCTATTTTAATTATTGTGATCAATTTGCGCCGTCAATCCCGGCGCATGCAGCCTTCATTTGCAGTCTGGACGCTGAGGGTAAACATCATGCGGCTCTGACTGCAGCGCTGAGAGGGACTCCTGCGGGAGAACGGCGTTGTGATGGGGGAGGCGCCTCACGGCAGCAGCTGCCGCTGGAGGACAGGAGTGGGAACGATACATGCTTTCACGTAGGTCTCCAAAAGCCGCCAGTGACACCGTAAAAAGTCGCCAGATTTGTCGCTAGTCGCTTTTTTTTTTAAATAGTCGCTGGAGGGGTCTGAAAAGTCGCTAAATATAGCGACAAAGTCGCTGAGTTGGCAACACTGCGCACCTGCAGCGCTGGCTCGCTCTGCCATAATTTTTTTTCTTTGCCCGTTTCAGTCAAGCGGCAGTGATGACAGCGGCGGCGGATGACGCATTAATCGCGCGACACAACTAATCGATGATGAAATTCGTTGCCAATGCTTTTAAAAGTCGATTTTTATTGATTTTATCGATTCGTTGTTGCAGCCCTAAATGAATCCCTCAATATCTTAAAAAACCAACTAGTCAACTTATCCACACTATATCAGTGTAGCATAGTTAGCGCTTTTGTTGCTAAATTTAGACCCTTCTGGCACCTTTATTTTAAAAAAGTGACTAGCACCAAATCTATGATCTTCTTTATGTGATAATGGAGACTTTGGCGAGACAACAGCACTGAACGCCGTCTTTCCCAGAGCAAGTCGATCTTAACCCTGCCTCCCGCTCTCTCTATCACTGTCTGCTGTCATCCTGCAGAGCAGGCTGCCTGTATTCTGCAGCAGAGAGTAAACGTTTCCACCTTAAATCCAGATTGATGAAATGCGCATGTGGAAAGCTGCAGCTAATTCGGTCAAAAAATTAAATAGAAATCATGAAAATATTAACAGATCATCAGTTGTCTCACTTAGATAAAACAACTGCCTCATTCTCTCCCTTTCTTCTCCTTACACTTAAGACTTAGAAAAACGGTAATTTTATACCCACACGGTGTATTCAAAACGAATTATATATTATATAGCATTATATATGACTCCACAAATTCCCAAAGTAGGAATTAAAAAAATGTACTCTCTAAAAGAGCAAATAAATGTGCAAAAATGTCCAAAAAGCTCTTCTATGAACAGTGATTTGAAAGGGGAGCTGTACTTATCATTGCATGCACCATTCTTAGGTAAGAGCAACCAAAAATAAGAAAAGTTACCTTATTTGCTTAAGTTCTTGAGCAGCTTTCAAGATTATTTCGTGCTGCCGTTGAGAAAGGGCCAGCACATTTGCAGAGTTTGTTCCTTGGGCAGCCGTTTCAGCTAAGCTTGAAGGCAAGTCTGTTGTAGATGCTGCAGATGGTGGCTCCTCCTTCCGTTCATCAAACTGAGGTCTAGGATCATCATAGTCTGGGTACCCCCTCACTGGTAAGGGAGAACGTCTAGAAGGCCTATCCCAGTCTGAAGCCCGCAGGTGAGGGGGTTCATCCAGCCTGTATGGGGGCTCACCTCTATATTCAAGAATTCTGAGCTCCCCCCTTGCCCTGTCATTTTCATCATATGGATATGAGTGACGTCTCTCCATTTCCTGTTTCCAGTGCTCCTCCCTAAGGTGCTGCTCTCTGAGGTGCTCTTCTCTGAGGTGCTCCTCTCTGAGGTGCTCCTCCCTGAGGTGTGCTGGGGGCGGCATGCGGGGAGGGTACTCTCTTTCAGACAGTGCATCTCTGTCCCACTCTGACCTCAAGTATTTGGCTTCATGATGATATTCATCTGATGGAAAGTCCTGGACTGGACGCCGGGGATACCCATCCTCACCATGATTGTAATCCACAGCATACTCCTTACTATACTCTTCATACCTCTCGGGTTCCTGACCTGGACGCCACATTCCCCTTGCCATTCCCCGACCCATAGGTCGTCTTCTTATTCCTCCCCTATCAATTATTTCATGTGGAGGCATCGGAGGGTCTCTTTCATGTGGAGGATACCACTCAGAGCTTTCCTCCCCTCCATCATACAAAGGCTCCTCCAAACGATCCAACAGTTCATGAGGAGGTGGGGGTATACGTCCACCTCTTCCTACATGAGGATGGCTGTATCGGTCATGCTCATCGTACATAGGGTACATTGTTAGTTCTTCACCGGCATCATCTAAGCCCATTTCACGACCCACAGACTCATGAGCCATCTCACCGTGAACAGAGTGAATTGGACCGCCTCGACCTCGTGGCATAAAAGCAGGGTGTCCACGTGGGGGTCGACCCCGACCAGGCGGAAATGGGGGTCTCATGCCTCGCATTTGAGGCTGCCATTCTTCCCAGTAAGGGTTCCCTTCTTCAGAATACTCAGCTGACTCAGCCTCTGTCCAATCTATATCATTTGAGTCACCTCTGCCCATGGGTGGTCCACCTCTACCCATGGGAGGCCCACCACGACCCATGGGAGGCCCACCTCTAATGCCCATGGGTGGCCTTCCTCTAATGCCCATGGGTGGCCTTCCTCTAATGCCCATGGGTGGTCTTCCTCTAATGCCCATGGGTGGTCTTCCCCTAATGCCCATGGGTGGTCCTCCCCTAATGCCCATGGGTGGTCCTCCCCTAATGCCCATTGAAGGAAATCCTCGACCCATGGGTGGACCTCCTCTTCCTATAGGTGGGCCCATTCCAAGCAGGGGAGCCCTCCTTCCCATTGGTGGACCTCCTCTTCCTCCAATAGGCCCTCCTCTCATAGGTGGTCTGCCTCTTCCCATATGTGGTGCCATAGGCTCCTCATAATACTCTTCCTCTTCAAAATAATGTTCCTCTGGCATCCATGTTTCCTCAGAGGCCATCTCAGATTCATCTCCCCCAAACCCTGAATTTGAGGGATCTTGCCAGTAGTCTTGTTTGTCTTCAGGTATTTCTGCATCTTCTTCCGGTGGCATATAATCATAGGCCATTTCTGCCATCTCCTCTCCAGTTTGTGGAGTATTATGTTCCCTAAACTGGCTAGGGCCCAACTGTCCTTTCCCTAGACCACGCAATGGAGGCTGACCCCGTCCCCTTCCAGAAGGAGGATTGGGAAGCTTTGGTTTTGGTGGCAACTCAATAGGACTCTGTAGTTCTGTTTGGATTTCTGGAGTCTTTTTAATTAAAGGTGTTTTGTTGTTTGTCAGTTGTCCATCGTCTTTTTTTGTGTTTTGTGGTAGTGGTTTTGATAATGACATTGAAGTTTTAGTTTCAGTACCAGGTTTGTCTTTATTGCCACCATCAGTGGCACTTTTGTCATTTGCTTTCGTAGGCTCTGTGTCATGTAATGTCTGGGGAATAGGGGCATCTGGAATAAAAAAGCCTTCTCCTCCAAGCAAGCTATCATCTGTCAAGTCTTCAGCCCCACCTTTATTTGGAACATCTTTCTCTTTGTTAGGAGACTTTGGTTGAGCAAGTGGTTTAGATGGAGTTGTTGAAACTGTACTGGCAGAACCCTGAATTTCCTTCTCCAAATTTTGTTCAGGATCTTTCTGTGTTTTTTGCAGAGATGGGGAAGGAGATTCAAAACGCGATGGTGGGCCAATGGGTCTTGTGGGTTCCAATCTAGATTGTTGTCCAAACTGAGGGTGGTCATGTCTAGGGGGATTATCAAAGGGCTGTCGCGGTTGGTCAAATCTTGGGGGACCTTCAAACCGCTGCTGTGGTTGGTCAAACCTTGAGGGACCATCAAAACGTTGCCGTGGTTGGTCAAACCTTGGGGGACCTTCAAAACGTTGCCGTGGTTGGTCAAACCTTGGGGGACCTTCAAAACGCTGCCGTGGTTGGTCAAATCTTGGGGGACCATCAAAACGCTGCTGTGGTTGGTCAAATCTTGGGGGACCATCAAAACGCTGCCGTGGTTGGTCAAATCTTGGGGGACCATCAAAACGCTGCCGTGGTTGATCAAACCTTGGTGGACCATCGAAACGCTGATGTGACTGGTCGGACATAGGGGGCTCATTAAAGCATGGTGGTGGCTGGTCAAATCTGCTGCGCCTGGAATGATGTTGAAAATGAAATGGGACAAATTGAGTTTAACAAGAAATACTGATTTCAAAAAGACCAAATGGTTGGTCAAACCTTGGGGGTCCATCGAAACGCTGATGTGACTGGTTGGACATAGGGGGCTCATTAAAGCCTGGTGGTGGCTGGTCAAATCTGCTGTTCCTGGAATTATGTTGAAAATGAAAAGGGACAATTGAGTTGAACAAGAAATACTGATTTCAAAAAGACCAAATGAAATTAAGTAACCTTTTTTTTGTTGCATTTTTTCAAACATCCACCACACATTAAATATTAGTAGAACATAGGGAATAACAAAAGAAACAACTAACCGTTGACTCGTTCCACTGTTGAAACTTGAAGACTGTGTTGTCAAGGGACCAGGGGGCATGTCTCCTGCCCCAGCAGATAGAGTTCCTTGCATAGGAGGTCCATCAGATGATTCTGAATGTGTCATAAAAGGAGGAGGTTGTTGTCCTAGAGATAAAGCCCCAGCAGCACTTTGAGCCATGGAGCTAGCAACAACTGTAGCTGTGGTTCCAACAGCACCTGGTGCGGTGGCACCAACAGCAACTGTAGGAGGTGGGATACTGGGGTTTGGGATGTGCATCTCCTGGCCAGGGTAAAGGCCAAATTGTCCCATCATAGCACCAAATGGGACCATGGCAGAAAAAGCCACCACCCTTTCTTGAAGATGGACATAGGTAACATTCATCTGCTCTTGCCACTGCTTCCACTGGAGCTCATATTCCTGCAATTGATCTTTGTGAGGATAAGACTGGAACTGTTCGTGCCACAAAGCAAAGGAAGTAGTCCAGTTTTGAAATAAAGACATGAACTGCTGCTTTTGCATTTCATAATGCCTCAGCTGCATTTCAGCAGTCATTGTCTGTAAAGGAAAAAGACAATGCTAGTGACATTATGTAGTGTATAGTAATAAAAGAGCAAAAGCTCTAAACCTTATCTTTGAATTTGTTATGTCTTTACCTACCTGGAGGTTTGGGGGCTGTTGAATGAGCCGTTGATATTGTTCAAGAACCTGCTGAAGTTTTTCATGCTGCTGCATGAGAGCCTGGTACTGTAAACTAACTCTCTGATGTTGTACTTGCTGCCATTGTGCTGCTGCAGCCTGTAATTCCTGGAGACGAGCAGATTCTTCTGGGTCTTTTGGGGCATCAGGCTTCAAATAGAAACAAGCCAAAAAGATTAGGGACAAATGACTATTTTTGTATCCTCTATAGTTATGATGTGGTTGTAGAGTTCAGACTGCAATTTTTAAATATTTCAATATTAAATCAAAGCATCATGGAGATTCTACATAAAAAAAATAAATAGCTTAAACACTGCTAGATCTTTTTAATGACAGTACTGGAAAACTTTACTTTGATGGGTGCAGTCCGGCAATATCACAATGTAAAAGAGGGAAAATTAAAAAGGGCTGGATTGATTTATGAAGTAGGGTTGGGTATTTTTAAGGAGTAGTTGGTCACATAACCTAAATATGAGCAACGTAATGCATTTAGGTATCTTAAACATGTGTTGCCCCTCAGGCTACGTTCACACTACAGGACTGCCCAACTCTGATTTTTTGCAGGATTTCAAGTTATTTTCTTGCATGGCCTTTCATACTACTAATTAAATACTACCACCATCAGAAGTCTATCTGAACAGTTCAGGACACCCAGGTGACCTTCGCGACGAAAAATGCAGACATCATAAAGCAGCGCAGCTTAGGGAAGTAATAATAAAGGTGACTTGAGGCCCCCACATACTCACACAGACATGTGAGGGGACTGATTCTGATGAGTATGACTTATAATACACTGTTTTGAGAGAAGGTACTTCTCAACAGAGACGAGTGTTGATACCGAACTGTTTAAAATTCAACACTGAACTGACAAGGCTCCTCGGGCGATAGCTGGAAGCAACACACTGCTCAGAGCAGTCAGTCATAAGGACCCGCAACATAACTGCTCTGGTGAAGAAAATATGGCACAATTTGGCCAACTAGACTTTTTTTCTATAACTTTTGAAAAGGTAGAAGGCATACTTGTCTGATGACTCCATAGCAGTTTATGAAATCAAGTATGTGCAGGCCTTTAAGCTGGTTCTATGCTTGATGAAATGAATGCTGCAAGAGGATGGGTGTGCCAACAGTGATGGCCCCTACCACTGTGCTAGGGCCCCCATGCACTGACAACATATGGTTATGCATATGAAGACTTTTCAAAATACACAATAAATCGATTATTGGGATGATAAAGATTGTTTTCCTCATATTTCCGACTTTTTCTACTATAGGTTAAGGTTAATTTAGGTACATCAGTCTGAGCCCACAAAACCCTTTATAGTTTCATTAGCGTAGCATGGGAGGTTTCTGACTGAGGCGTAGCAAGCCAGAGTAATCCTAGTTGAGATTTGGAACAACAACAAATGGAGTTTGTTTCAAAGCCAAACAAGACAGGTGCAGTGTGGGGGCATTTTTGGATTCAAATCGAATGAAAATATCAGTTGTCGGGATAATTTCTGTTATCATAGAGCAACGTCCAACCTCCAAAGCTTTGTAACTAGGATTGTATGCTATCTGCAATTTTCAGAATGAACAAGATGCAAACTTTCCACACACAAGTTGTCACTTCAAGAACAGCAGGAAGAGAGTAACAGCAAAGGGGAAAAAAATAAATAAAAAACAAAGAGCAAAACAATGGCAAGAGAAGTATATATGCGAGCTGAAAAAAATATATGGAAGTCAAAGCCAGAAATTCTTTACAAAAGAGGTCAAAAGGTGAGTTTCTCTTCATGGTTTTACCCTTTAAGGCTGAAAATTTAGGAGAAACAAGCCAATTAAGTTGATAAAAAACAAAGTATTCAATTGGGAACAGATATTTTTCATGTATGTGAAGTGCTTCTTCTTTCCAATACATTTCAATACAGATGCTTTGAGAACTATTGGATACATATCGAAATGTAGAACCATTAAAGTGGCTCCAGTTTCTTTTTTTAGGAGGAGAAAAAGTTGGAATTGGGCCATTCAGAGGTGAAACAAAGTCAAATATGAGTCTGATATTGGCAAAAAGATAGGATTAGTTTTTTTCCTGCTGTGTGAACGTAGCCAAAGTGAAAACATCATATGGGCATTTCATGTTTTGGACAAGGGCTTTTTTAAACTTGCAGAGTTTGCTAAAAATCCCAGGCAAAACAATGCTTTCCAACTTTAAAAACTAGGTTGAAGAAGCACTGATCAGCAGTTATCACAGCAGAGGATGGTTCATCCTCTCTGAAAATATAAAAACACAAAGTTTTTCAACTAGGCACATCTTCCCTGATGTGCCTAGTTGAACAAAGTTACACCAATGTGATCTAATGTGTGATGGGAAACTTAATAAATGAGGCCCTGTCATGCTGGCTTAATTGTTTGAAACATCTGTGTTACTACTGATAAAATACGATGCTTTTTAAAAAATCAGAAATTTGAGATACGTTCGGTACTTTGCAGATGCCCGAGGACTTGCAAATGTATATCATTTAATTGGTAAAAGCATTGTTTTCCAGATAGTTTCCAGGTCATTTAAGCCATTACAAAAAGCCTTATAGGTCATAAAAACAAAACAAAAAAACATGCAAGACATTATTTTTTAACAGAATTAATTATCACCATCTACTGATTACAAAAAATTTCCTAGAGAATATCACAATAGTTTGCATAGCTGTGGTCTAAGTACCAATGCGTATCATATATATATATATATATATATATATATATATATATATATATATATATACATATGTATATATATATATATATATATATATATATATATATATATACATATGTATATATATATATATATATATATATATATATATATACATATGTATATATATATATATATATATATATATATACATATGTATATATATATATATATATATATATACATATATATATATATATATACATAAATATATATATATATATACATAAATATATATATATATATACATAAATATATATATATATATATACATAAATATATATATATATATACATAAATATATATATATATATATACATAAATATATATATATATATACATAAATATATATATATATATACATAAATATATATATATATATATACATAAATATATATATATATATACATAAATATATATACATAAATATATATATATATATACATAAATATATATACATAAATATATATATATATACATACATAAATATATATATATATATATATATATATACATAAATATATATACATAAATATATATATATATACATAAATATATATATATATATATATATATATATATATATATATACATAAATATATATACATAAATATATATATATATACATAAATATATATATATATATATATATATATATATATATATACATAAATATATATACATAAATATATATATATATATATATATATAATATATATAATATACATACTTATATATATATATAATATATTAGGGCTGGGCGTAATTCACAATACGATATATACTCGTATAGCACTGATGGCAATAATAAAAAAGAGGGGATATTCAATATACGATATATCACATACATAACATGGGCGCAATAGAAAAAAAAGGATCGATAAAAGTTCATAAAAAAGAAAACGCAGTTTTCCTATCCTCTCATTGTAAGCCTAGCATGTAGTTTATTGTAGATCACTGCTTCCTCCCAACCAATCAAACACGGACCCAGGCATGCCGTCACCAAGCGCCGCCTCTCTACAAAAACCACAACACAGAGCACATGAAGACAGCAAGGAGAGGCGAGAAATTGTTCCAAAGAAAGGTTTTTATTCGCCATGTCTGGCAGTATTTCGGTCAGGCAAGTCAGGACCAAAACAAACACATCATCTGAACATGTGTCGGAAACCAGTGAAAGAAACAAAACAAAAAACATCAAGACATTATTTTTTAACAGAATTAATTACACCATCTACTGATTACAAAAATTTCCAGGAATTTTCAACAATAGATATTCATAGTGTTCTAAGTCCAATGCGTATCAATATATATATAAATATATATATAACTAAAAATATATAATATATACAGTAATAATACATATATAATATAATAGTATATATATATACTATACATATTACAATATAAATCATATATTACATATATCATCACACAGATCAAAATAGAATACAAATATATATATTATATTATTTATGTACAACTATATATACATATCATATAATATATACATCATAATAATAACAAACTACTATATCTTAACAACAATTATAATTATACAAAAATATAAATAATAATAACAAATATATATAATTAGTATATATATAAAATAAATACATTACACATAACATAAATAATATCATACAACATGACACAATATAAACATTACTAAATCTATTCAAATACTATACATAAAATACGATCGATAGACATGTGGCGCAATAGAAAAAAAGAGGGGCGATAATTCAATAACGATATATATCGATCGATAGACATGTGGCGCAATAGAAAAAAAGAGGGTCGATAAAAGTTCGATAAAAAAGAAACGCAGTTTTCCTTCCTTCTCATTGTAGCCTAGCATGTAGGTTTATGCTAGTCACTGCTTCCTCCCAACCAATCACAATCACGGACCCAGGCATGCCGTCACCAAGCGCCGCCCTCTCAAACCACAACACAGAGCACATGAAGATGCAGCAAGGAGAGGCGGAGGAAATTGTTCCAAAGAAGGGTTTTTGTAGTTCGCCAGTCTGGCAGTATTTCGGTCATGGCAAGTCGGACCAAAAACAAACCACAGTCATCTGGAAAATGTGTCGGGAACCAGTGAAAACGAAGTCTGATAACACAACCAACTTTTTTATTTTATTTTTATGATCTCAGCCGCTCACACCCACAGGAGTACGAGCTGTGTAGGCCTCGGCGCGGCTCTCCTCCGAGGAATCTTCGGAAAATATATATATATTTTCAGTTCTGGGCAGTTTCCCACGTAGTTCTAACAATTGAGATAAAAATGCTGAGGGGCCAGCAACTTCAAAGTAATAACTCAGGTTAAAGCAGGAAACGGGGGCGGCGGTGGGGGGGGTATTTATCCGTCCATCCATTATCTTACGCGCTTGTCCCAATTGGGGTCGCGAGGGGTGCTGGTGCCTATCTCCAGCAGTCAATGGGAGAGAGGCGGGGTGGGTATTTATTTATTTGTTATATTTATTTTGGTCACTTTTCTGGTCACTTTAGTTTATTCTTTGTCAGTATTTAATAACATAACTCAGATCTCTTTTTTTCTTTAAAACAATTCTGTTATGGTTAAAAAAGTTGGTTAAATAAAGATTTAATTCGAAGTCTGTGTTTGTGTTTTTTATTAAAATTAAATCATTTAGCAATATTATAAAAAGTCCAGGCAGAGCTGCACATAAAACATGGTTTCAAATCTTTTCAATAATTATCGATATCGATAAATATGCATTTTTTTTTATCGATAAGCTTTTTTTCTATATCGCCCAGCCCTAATATATATATATATATATATATATATATATATATATATATATATATATATATATATATTTATATTTTGAAAAACCCAACCCTACACAGGACATGGCAGGGATCACAAGAACTGAGGTAATATATGAAGCATGGGCATAAAAATGACAGAAAATTGGTGATAAGACTTACTGTGTCTGTTAGTTTAGATGAGTTTCCTACATTTGCATTCTGTAAAATTATGCAAACAATATATAACATTTAAACTGTATGACATTTACAATCTTCTGAAAAACAACCTGGAATGTTTGAATGCAGTTGAGTAAAATACATCTCAAACACCTTTGTTTTATCTTTTTTTAAATCAGTAAACAAGAAAAATCTGGATTTAATGAGGATCAAAGACACCCGGAAAATTACCAAAAGATAAAATTTTCAAAATATGGCATCACTGGATGAAGACACTTGTGCAAATTCTAGTGCATTTACATCACATTTTATTGAATTGCATTAACAGAGATAAAGAGAAACAATATAACAAACAACACCAACAGGGCCTTATGTAACACCTAACAGGCAGCTAATCAAAGGGGGGCTCACAAATGGAAATAAACAAAGACCAATATAATTTTAGGAAAACTTACCGTTACTTCTGTCGGAGGTAAAGGAGGCACAGGAGGTTCCTCTTTTGGAGGTGGTGGTGGAGGTGTGCCTTTGGGGGGTTCTAATGGAGGAGGAGGAGGAGCTGCCTGACTTGAAGGTGGCGGCGGTGGTAGAAAGGCATTGTCCTCTTTCTGATTTAGTTTGGCTTTTTCTTGCCTCAGTTTCTGTAAATTCTGAAGATGCTGTTGGTACCACACATTTTGTTGCTCCTGATAGAAACAAGAGCATCATAAATTAAACGTTTGTGAGGATTTTCATTTTTATGACAGTAAAAGAATGAATTTGACAAATTGCTTTTAGAATATTTAAACACATTAGACTAATAAATCAATTATGTTAAGATCCTTTTTTTATTTTAACTCTTAAATATCGTTTTAATCTGACCAAAAGTCATTTTACTCCCGAGTAGACTAAGAACATGCACTAGGCAGCATGAGAAAATCAACTTTGGCAACCATTACTGAGATTTCTATTATCAATATATATGCAATTTTTTAAACAAGTAAAAGCAAATAGAAAAAAGAAAACAACTAATTATAGCCTATAAAGGATCCAGATTTGTTTAAAATATTTCTCATATATCCATAACTTCTGTTAGGTGAAAAACTAGCCTTGACATGTATGCATAAGCGGATTACTTACATGTAAAAATGCTTGTGTAAAATGTTTGCTGTAATAAGAAAAAAAATCTTACTCACTTTACCAGTCATGTGAAGTAAAGTTGTGGTTTAAAAGAATAAAGTTTTGGTTGTTGTTAGAGCAGGACAAAAATGCATATTTGAGGATATTACTGTCTGAACATGTGCATGGGTAAAACCAGTGTTTGGACGAAAATACATCAAAACTGTCCTTCATTTTGGATTTTTTTATTGCTGCCAATAACTTTTCCAGTGTTGAAATTTTACATTTCATAACCTTTTTTATTTGAAAATAAGTGGAACCAAAATGGAAAGTAACGCCTTATTTGGGATTTTCTACTTTCTCTTTCCTAATTCAAACATAATTCGTATCTTTCTATTTTGAGCAAGAAAAAATAAAGTTACTTTAGGTCATTACCTGTAAAGGTAGGGAGTTGTTATTAGTGCTGGACTGGCTTGTGGTCCCCACCTCTGGAGCTTGGGGAGCACCGATGTTCTCTTGGGGCTTCAGCGATTCTGGAGGAGGTGGGGCTGGTTTGGACTCGGCCTGCTGCGGTAGCATCGGAGGGGGCTGATGCTGAGCCTGTTGCGCTTCTACGTGGCCCGGTCCTTCGGATTGCCATTGCGGGCCCGAGTTAAAACCACCCGGAATTCCACCCCCAAATCCCGGCGCGCTGTTACCGTGGTGTAAAACGGATTGCAGCTGTTTCTGGTGCAGCATCTGGAGCTGCTGCATCTGTTGGCGATGCTGCTCCTCCAGGCTGGAGAACACCGAGCCGCCTGACGAGGCCTCGAAGCCGCCGAACCCACCGGGAGCTTGACCTGTTCCTACTAGAGGTTTACGAGGACCAGGTCCTCCGTAGCTTTGCGGCGGAGGGGCCCCGTAATTACCCCAAGAGGGATACATTTTATAAAATAAAAGCACAGGGGGCCACCGTAATTACATATAGAAGGGCCCAGAGCAGCTAACAAAGCTACCAGCTAACGTCTACCTCCGCTCTTAAAAGGAAAACAGCTTACATTATCAGTTCATATTCCAAACAGTTCAGTTATAAATCCCAAAAATGTTATCGCTTGCAGTACTTGTTTAACTTTGACCAAAGAGTGTCACAGAAAAGCCAATTTGTGTCCTATTCTTATTCTTTTGAGCGATATTTTACGGCGCTGAATGGCCGACAACTTGAGAGCACGCAGCTGAAAACGGAAGTACGTCATACATTAAATGAACGTTTCCTGCATAGGCAGCAAGGCCGACGTGCTTAGAGGGCGGCCATCTTGGATCGGACCACAGTTCAGACAGCTGCTGTCAAAATGAATAGGAAGCGTCTCATTTTAATCACATGAAAGACTAGTCAGTTAGATTACACATATTTATTTAGATTAAAATCTATTTAAACTTAACTCAAACTGGAAGAGATATTTGTAAAGTTATCAATTAAATATTAATATGATAAATACAAAGTTTATATTAATATATTGCAAGATTATATTTTACAAATATTATATAATTATATAGTTTATTATCATTATGGACTATTTTTTACAGGATTGCTCTTTGATAATGAGTATAATGATCTATAGAGTAAAATCTCTGGTAATGTGATTTACAAAAGAGAGCAAAGTTATTATTTTGTTTTTTTTAAAGTGATTTTATGTGATTTTTTATTTATTTTTTGTCATTGTCAAGACTTTTTTCTCAAATCGTAGTGAATGATAAATTTATGTTGAGTCTAACTAAGGCTTTTTGCCTTCATTAACTGATTAAAAAATAAATGTTCACATATGCATAAATAATGATACAAATGTCTGCCCTCTAGGACAGGTCCAATGTGGCGTCTGCGTGTCTCTCCTCTGTCTATCTCTGTTCTGCATGGTTCCTGAATCCAGGACGTCTTCACCACTTTACTGTGATCAACGTTGGTGTCCGGCTCAGGGCCCAAATGACTGTTTCCTCCATCAAGACACCATAATGACTTTATTTGTTGCTCAGAAACGCCTTTAAAACAGTAATTATGTTATTTGAAGCTTTTGCTGTAATAATCCCGAAACAACTGTTAATTTCTTTTAAAACCGTCCAGTTATCCAGTCAGTTGGCATGACGCAAAAAAACAAACAAAAAAAATGACAAAGAATTTTTTTTTTTTTTTGGAAAATACACTGTTTGACGTTAAGGGAAACTGTAAAATTATCTCAAAGAAATCACAATAGATATAGCTATTTATTTGACCTAATTATTATTGTGGCAAAGTTTGTTATATATAAATGCAAGTTAAGAGGTACTAAATCGGGTATTACTAGTTTTAAAAATCAAACTGAACAATACATCAATTCCATACCATTTTTGGAAAACAAAGAAACAATTAAAACCCAAGAAATAATGTAATGTACTTATAATAATAATTTAATAATTGAACTATATTCATCTTACATTGGAAAAATTCACTATCTGCATTTAACCCATTCCCTTGGGGAGCAGTGGGCTGCCAGTGTGGGGTTAAGGGTCTTGCTCAGGGACCCAGAGTGCAGGCTGTGGGGATTGAACTGGGTACTTGCAACCTTCTCAGAGCACAAGTGCACTGCTCTAACCACTAGGCCAACACTCCCACACTTTAGATAGCAACCCCCATTGTCTGAATGTATGACTTTACTTGACTTTTATATTTATTTTGTGTTTCTTTAGTTTATACAGAATGAAAAAATCCCAGCATGTAGGCTACCATCTAATATATATTCTTCTTTATTGCCTCTTTTCATGTGACGCTTTTGGAGAAGCAAACACAATATATTTTAAAAGACCTTTAAATGAACAAACTCTCTTAACTAATATATGTTACATATTTTACGTTAGACCAATATCACTACTGTACACAGATAACTCTAACCTTTAGGTTAGCTGTAGGTGTCTTCAATGGTGCATTTATAGTTTAACTTCTTTAAATCTACAGAGCATGCATTCTAAAACTCTATCACTAGATGGAGGCATTTGCATAGATATCTTAAATGTGATATGGTTATATCTAAAATCAAAACCACCGAAGTTGAGTTATAATAAGTATATCAACAGAAACCAAACATTAGAACATTGCATCATATTTACATTTTCAATGTAATTGAAATCCAAGCATTTGGTCAGAACATTACTGATGGACTTTGCGATGATCTTTAGTGATCACAAGAATTTCAATTCCTGCTGAAAGTATGCTACTCTCACAACAGGCTTGGGAAATGCATAGAGGGGAACCTGCCTATTGTTTCTGTTGCTATTATACATTTATTTCCCTGGCTAATTATCATTGTTTGATCCATCCAGCCTGTACAGTAAAAATTTTCTGTACTGTTATTTTATGTATATATCTTTGGGACCAGACTGATCTTAAACATCAAACTGCAGTATTGTTCAACGGATTTTAAATTACGCAATACCATAAAATACACAACTCTGAATTGCGATTCAAATTTGCACAGGTTGTAAATGCTGTAATGTATTTTTTAAACTACAAATAAACTCAATGAAATTGTAAGTAGCAAATACAAGTCTCAAATTGTCTTGGATAAAGTTTAAGTCTACAAAAACATTTGTTTATCAAAGAGTCAGAATAGTGGGGGTAAAAGACCACTGACTTTAGGTTGCCCTTGAGGCCTGATACACATTAAATAATTTCCCTTAACATCACCAGTAAATCCGTTTTAATTTTGACCAGAACCACTTTAAAAGAACCGTTAAAGCGGATTAATCAAGCCGGTCCTGTTTAATGTCTCCCGTTAATTAGTTTGTCAGCAGTGTTTTAATATCTTCTAATGACTTCATATTTCACCAGTGACATTCAAGGGGTGTTAACAGAAGAGAAATAGTCCATTCAGGCCTCAGTTCTTTCACTTAAAGCGCCCTCGGTGAATAAGACAAGGTCAGGGAGGCCTAGCCTTTAGGGAGAGATAGATTATCATGGGAAGGGGGAGGGCGAAATCCCATAGAGGAAGCTTTCACCTCTCTAAAACAGCATGACAGGCACAATGTGATACAGTTAGAACAATACACTGCACAGGATCCATGATACAGCTTAAGTCAGCCTCACTGTATGGGATGCAGGATAACTTCACAGTATAGAATAATACTGAGACTTGGGATTGATGCTTTCTTAATTAAATCATTGAAGACTGGTTATTTTTACTGCTTTAGTATCTGTTGCAGCAACAGTAACATGCCTTGGATGTTGGGGGCTTTTGATCACAATCAGCATTTTCTAAAAGCCATCTGGGCAAGAGTAAAGAAATCAGGAATCGTAAAGTTGTGGCTCACAATATTGAGGACGCTGCGTTTCCTCTGTGATGAAAATCCTATGTTAAACAAAATGCTCAATGGAGGCTAATAGATCCCAAACAAGTCTATGCACTGCTTCTAAAATGCTTTGTTTGGCAAATCAATTTTCCCATAACCCAGTGAGAAGAAAAGTGACGCGGATTGATCGACCCTCCCCCCCACTTTGTTTCCAGAATATTGTTTGATGGCTGGATAGATTAATTGGTATGACATTTCAAAGCCTTCTCTTGGCTGTCAGCATCTAAGCCTCAGCATGGCAATCGAACATCAGTCTAATTGTCTCCTATGTAATACCTCAACTCTCAAATTAGAGATGGTACCTCTATGAACTATTCCTTAAATAAAAGCTCAGAAAATCACTCTGCTTAATCAGAAGTGGGTTTGCCGAGGGGTGATGAAGAGCTGATAGGCAGGGTGCATTAAAGGACATCTCCAAAACTGCTTTGCCAGCACATTTACCACTCTTCACCCTAGATCTGAAATATACAAATCAGATCAAGGTTGTTCTCTATAGGGTGTTGTAGTTCTAATGTGAATCTGTGTTAGAAATAATTTACATCACTAAAGCCCCAGTGAGCATGTAAAGGAAAATACAGCACTAAAATCAGTACTCAATAACTGTTTTTTGTTCTGCTGGAGTGTGTTATGAACATGCCAGCTTAATTTTCTCTACTGTGGCATTAACTCAAAATGATTGTTAAGCTTTAAAAATGAATGGAATTACTGTAACACATTATGCATTGTTTTTTTTAAGATATCCAGAACGATAACTCAACAAGTAAAGGGCAATAGAGAGTTATAAGGTTAAAAATTAAGTTTTCCCTTCTTAGCTATCCAGAAATAAATTAGACAATTTAAACCGTTTGGTTTCTTTATATTGCTGTGATGGGTAGGAAAAGTTCTGTAAATAAAATGTGTTTTTTTTTTTTTTTTTTTTTCGAACAGAGGAAAATGAAACAAAAAATTGTTTGTGTGATGGTGGTATTTTAATTTTTTTTTAAACTAAGATTCTCTTTGCATCTAGAAATGTGAATTTAGAGACCATTGACGTTTACCATTAAAAACTCTGGCGAAAAATCTTTTCTGTTTTTTATACAATGTTCTATGTAGATTAAAAATGCTCCATTCCTCATTTGCATATGCTGGTGTTAACCTCTTAGGTGTATGATAATCAGATACCAAAATGCTTAAGAAAAATTTATCATAAAATTTATTGAAATTTTATACTTTTGGTAGACTTTATGATACGTTTAAATCTGGGCTCAGTCTCCACATTGCTGGGGGCAGCTTATGTAATGGAAAATGAGTCACTTGGTAGACTGCGCCTCACTGAAGCAGCAAAAAGTTTGTTTCCATTTATTCATTTTCACAGGGACAATGTTTGAACTCATTGATCTTTATAAAAGAAAAATGCTTTACACCAGATTTAGCTGTGGCCAGGTCACAAGAATACAATACCTATATAATTCATCATCACACAACTATTTGATCTATGTAAAGCCATTTATACAACATAATTCAAAATAATTGCAAATATAAATATTACAAATGATCATAGTTATTGTTTCCCAGCAGTTATTTTCTACTGTTCTACCAGGTTATTTTATAATACTTATTGTTCAATTCTTTGTTGGATCTAAAGGAAAATATTCTACAGTCATTATGTGCTTGGAGCTTGATGTTCTAATGGTCTGCAAGAGCAAAGCTGAAAAAAATCTATTGCATTTGTGTTTTTTTTATTTATTTTGAGCAAATAGCTGTCCATCTAAATATATAAATTAATTATAAAATAATTGTCTACACTATATTTACTAAGGATCTGGTTTCTTATTAATAAACCTGTGAACACTGCCAAGGGTTGTGATCTACAAAAGACAAAATTGGTGT